GATGTACAAAAGTTGTTACGAGGACCTAATGTACATGATACTGTACACTCATTCAAAACGTGGATTTGAACATCAAATATACTATTTCATGCTTTGTAGACTTATGTGAGAGTACATATTCATCAATAAGTAACTTATTGTGCGAAAACTCAAATGAAATTACTCAAAGTTTCAGCAAAAAACTACAATGAATGATCACTCACCAGGCAAATCCAATTTATCGTAGGCCATGTTCAACAAGTTATAAATTAGTTAGTCCCTACCTACTAGATGTCGCTGCTCGTCTCAGTATTTCAAAACACATGTACATGAGAAATGCCACACGGTCCCAAAACGTAAATTGCGAACAAAATAATAATAATTATAACTGATTAATAGTATGTACACTATAGCGTACTATGGGTCTGAAAGGGTTAAATGAGATACTTTCAATCATAAAAGCTATTCAAAATCTCCAAAATTAAATAAAACATTTACAATGAGTTTTTTGCAATTCCTATAATTTTTTGTGATAATCTTTTAATATGTTATGAAGTACATTATTGGGGCTATCAGGTATGTCTCTAAGTTTTCATGTTCATTTAATAAACGACACATGAAATCTCTATTGACTGACTAATGTAAGGAGGATTCACTTGAACCCAACTCAGGTATCTGTTTTTTCTTAATGTTGGACAAAAGGATGCGGTAAAGTATTACCAAACATGAGTATAGTTTTACTTTTTTATTTCTTTTTCATGTCTAAAAACTCTTACTTATTCAAAAAAATTGTGTACATAACGTTGTGTATTTGCTTATTTAAAAATTGAATCTTTTTCCAATCCTCAAGAAGCTATGATCTACTCTCTTGCCACTGGACAGGGTATTTGAGTCTCCTACTATCCCAGAATCTGAAAAATTAACTCTGTTATAACACATGCTGGATATCAAACACATTTCAACCATTTTCATTTTCATTTTTTCACTAAATAGTTCACAAAACCACGACACGTGTTTCACTATAAAATAGCTTCTTCAGGCATGTTCACTACTAGTGTTTATTGCATATTGAAACACGTGTTTGTTTATATTAACTGTTTTCGCGTCTTCATTCATAATTTTTTGTGAATCTGATACGTACAAACTGCTTGCTGTGGTAAATCGTCGACTGCTTGTTCCAGGATGGAACATAGTTGTCTTAGTCCTGAATTGGATGTATCTTGCAGTGAGCTTAAAGGACAGCTGATAATATAAGCATTAACCTCCGATGATAAAACAGCTGACACTAGAGACACTACAAACGATATCACTGCAGAAAAATGCATCTTGAACTCTGAAATATAATTTGCAATGATGAGATATGAGCGAATGTCATTAATTGATGTATGTGCAGGGAAGATATGTGAGAAAAACTATTGTTGAGGGTCTTTATTAACGCAATAAAACCGAATTTTTATCTGTTTGTTCATGGGTTTGTACATGCTCATCTCAAAAATGATTTGACTGTTTTGGATGCAGATTACACTAATATATATTGTGGTAAGCTCCGCTTAACATTTAGTGTTTGAATTATTTAAATTGGTTTATTAATATAAAAATTATGTCAATGTATAGAATCATGTCGCACATTTGTTGAGAAAAATAATGATTTCAATGTCCTCAACTATAAAACTATCAAATGCTTCTTTCCAACACGTCAACAGGAAATGATAACAACAGATGATTATTTTCACACAGGTGAATTTCACTAGTTCGGACTTCCATTGTCTACTATATGAAATGATTTGAAATCCCTGAAACAAGTAAAAAAGAATAATTAAAAAAGAATAGTTGAAAATAACAATTATATTAAGCAACAATAAACCTGAAATGAAATGATAGTGAAGTAACCTACAAGTAAAAATATGAATATGGTATTTTTTTTAATGTTGAATTTCATAAACTTTCATGAATAAATCAAATGAAATCAATATGATGAACTACTTGAAAGAATGGATGACTTTACTGAATATGAATATTGATAAATTTAGCACATATGTCTACATTGAATAGCAATAACTAGTGTTGATATTCAATGCGTCTTGAATGAAATTTATTCAGTGAGAATTGTATAGTCATGGCTAGAATAACTAAAGTAGAATTAGAATGAAAAAAATCATTTATAAAGCACTCAAAGTGGAATAGTTCAGAATAAAACAAAATAAGAACACACATTTTCAGCAATTTTCACAGACAAAAACTCGTATCAGTGAATATATTTATTTGAAATAAGTGAAAATAGGGTACTACTAGATATTCAAAAATGAATTATTTGTCAATCCACACAAGATTTATATTTCGGAAAAAAATTATTGTAGAGAAACCAAAATTTCACTTACTTTTATGTAGGTATCGATATGGGGAAAAAGCTTTTGGAAAATGTTTCTGAACTCTGATGTTTGAATTGATGTAACGGCTTATATATCTTATCCGCCCTCTCTCTTCCTGACGTCATACACCCTATGCGTACCACGATGTTTCAGATATGCCATTTCTTGTGAAAGTAAGACAAAGACAAAGAAATCACTAGATCATTTGAATTATTGAACTATTTTAGTAATGACAAGAGTTTCAATTCGAAGTAATCGAGAGCAGAAATTCTGTCAATTTGGTTTCAGATTCAGTCTTCATATATTGTCATTAATCAAACTGTAAACTGATATTTCTCTTGAACATTTCACTAAGTAAGATGAAATTGTTTTTAAGTTAATGCAATTCTTCAAACTTCATGTAACTTAATTCTGGTTGCTGGTGATAGGAGCTGATATACAGGGCGCAACAAAAAGGTAGGTCATAAACTGAACCACATATTCTGGGGTCAAAAATAACTCACCTCAATACAAATGTGAACACAAAAAATTACAACCCTTGAAAAGTACAAAATGAAAATCGATATTTTCCAATATTTCATGAATGAAAATGTATCCATGGCTTTCTTATCGTAATATCATCTTTTTCATATAGAACCACAAAATCTGATCAGCCCATAAAAAATTTACGAGGTATTGAACCCCTCAAACCCCCAAAACTTTTCTATGCGTTAGAATTGAATTGGTATTGCGACATCATTGGTTTAATACATCATTTTTAAATTTTTATGGATGAATGACAAAAAAATGCTTGTTACTGGTAATAGTGGTCATCCAAAAATGGATACAAACGATGAGGAGATTTTTAGAATTGAATAGAATTAGATATTGGTCGCATGATGATTTGGAGAAGATTGAAGGAACAGCAGCTTCATCTCTATCACTTAACAAACGTTCAAGAATTACTAGATGAAGATTATCTTAAAACAATGAGATTTTGGGATTGGTTCTTGACGGATAACAATGAAATGTCGATTTCATTAATCATATTTTATATACCCATGAAGCTATCTTCAATAGAAATGGCATTATGAATCACTATATAACACACATATGTGCCTAAGAAAACCCTTACGCAAAAAAATGAGTCATCACCAAAAGACTTTCAGAGTCAATGTTTGGGCAGGCATTGTGGATGACAATTCAATAGGACTAGTATTTCTCACAAATAACTTGAATGGTGCACATCATTCTTAGTCCTTACAAAATGATTACCAGATACTTGGAAGAAGAATATTTGGGAATGAGGCAAAATATGTGGTATTTTCAGGAAGGAGCTCCAGCGGATTTTGATAACGAAGTTAGCCAGAAGTTCAGATTTCAACCCTATTGACTTTTGCTTCTGGGGATTTATGACAGAAGACGTGTATTCGGCGAACAACAACTGAGGTATCAAATCACTGAAAGTGCAAATCGATTTCGTCAGGAACCTATGATCTTCCAAAAAATTCGGTTTTCCCTTTTTAAAACGGCGCTGAAAGTTTATTCAGGAAAATGGAGGCCATATTGAACATTTATTTTAGAAAATACCACACATGAAGGCTCAGGACGTGAAGTGTAGTCCAGATCACTTAGCCTAAGGATTAAGTGGGGAATGAAAAAAATACCGGCGTGGTCCAAACAGAACTGGCTGGCATCTCAATCGCCACAAAAGAAATAACCTGGAAAGGAATTGGCGCTAGAGTGCCAAAGCCTCGGTAGATTAAAACATTATCCTGAGGTGGGTTAAAAGGCACGAAAGGAGTAAAGGTAATCGCATTGTCGACTCTTTAGCCAAGGAAGCGGCTGGACTAAGAATTTTAGGACCCAGTGGCACCTACGGCCTGATGACTTCGACAAATGCGGAACTAGCAAAATGTTACACCCATGCTCAATCCCATAAGATATGGGGTGGAATCAAAAGATGCAATCTTGCCAGGATCACCCTGGGCGACCCTGGGAAGCTGGCGCTGGAGAAATATCTGACGATGACCAGGAAAAATCTACGCTGACTGGCCACTGTCAGCTAAGGGAGCACCTGGATAATATGGGGCTAGTAGACACACCTCTATGCAAGATGTGTGAACAGGAAGATGAGACTGTCAGGCATATTCTATGCGAGTGCCCGGAGTTATCGTCAATAATAGAGTGTGTGTTCGGCGAGTCTTGGCCTACACCTGCCGATATAAATGAGATGTCTCCTAGTGACCTGTCCACCTTCCTGGAAAGGACAGGATGGACGACGACCTAGGAAGACAACTCCTCGGGAGGATGTACAATGGGTCACATGTGGCCGTGCTGTGAGCTTACACTCACCCTCCCAACTCTACAGATACCACACATTTGTACATATTTTCTGGACCTGCAAATACTCAATTATTATAAATTACTTTTTGTTACTCATCTGGCTTTTCGAAAGAGTGTTACGAGTTAAAAAAAATCAAAAATGATGTATTAAACCACTGGTGTCACAATACTAATTTAACTGTAACGCATAGAAAAGTTTTGGGGGTTTTAGGGGTTCAATACCCTCCTAAAATTTTTATGGGCTGAGCAGATTATATGAAAAAGATGCTCTCACGAGAAGAAAGCCATGGATCCATTTCCATTACAAAATGGTAAACAGTTCATGAAATATCAGTTTTCATTATGTACTTTCCAAGGGCTGTAAATTTTTTGTGTGCACATTAGCATTAAGATAAGTTATATACAATCGAGTTATTTTTGATCCCAGAACATGTGGTTCAATTTATGATCTTTCTTTTTGTTACACCCTGTATACTGTGCAGGAATAACTTGAAATTGCAGCTACCCGCTCGCTCAATGCGCATCCCTTTTTTCTTGGAGTAAATGTATGAAATGTTGCAGTGCATGAGAAATATTACTTAAGGCTTCACAACGAAATGAGTGGATCCATATTCTCACAGATAAACAGACTGCACTTAGGGCATCTATAAACCCAAAAGGGACATATGAAATGGAAATCTCAGAAATCCCAGGCAACGGAAAGGCTGATGAGTGTGTTAGACACATTTGGCCATATATGAATTTGTTGAAAACACCCACAAATATTTTCATGAAGAAAACTTGTGAGTGCTCTTTTTTGCATTTGATTGTTTTAATCTGTTCTACATCCAGATTGAATTATATGCTTTGAGAATCTGTGGAAACGTACATGAATGGTTTATGTTCTTCCTCAGAAATAAAGGAATTGCTGTGAGACTCAATAACACTTTTTTCAGAATATAAATTACCATTTCAGGGGGTTTTCAGGGATCTGTATTAGGACTCATTTCTCAAATTCATCGATGGCTTACCTGCACATATAAAATCGGACTACTCAGTTTTATATGCTGATGATGTTTTAGTTGCTATATGATGATTTGAAGATATGATTTTTATCTAACAGATTATTTGAATCATATCTTTCACGAAGAATTCCAAATTTCACACATAGAAGGTAAAGGTTTAAAACTGAATCATTTGGAAGCAATGGAAATTAATAAACTTGAAAAATTTCAAACATTCTAATGAATAACCAACTGGATTGGAATAGATTACCATTATTGAACTTGTTTAGGTACTTAAAAAAAACGAGAAAGTACTATTATTGATTTAGTAGTGAGGTAACATGCTTCAGGTATTCATAATTGAAATGTATTACTCTCTGTTATACCCTCATCTAAATTATAACATATTAGTATAGGAAAACGCTCCTTCAGAAATAGTTCTTTTGAAAATACTTTTTTTTTTTTCGTGTAATTCATTGTTCATGTGAAAATAGCTGTTTCGGAAGGTCTTTTTCTTCCAGTTTGTGCCTGAAAGTAACTTCTATGCATGATCTATGAATTTTAAGAAGTTTATTTTGAACATAACTGCTGTGTTCCTTCATTCTGGCGTTTTCCACATTCCTTGTATTAAGATGGAGACGTAGAAATCAAAAAAGCTTTTTTTTTCAGTTACTGTAAAAATTATGTTGGTCAAACTAAGTGGACTATACTAACACGTTTAGAAGAACATATTGCACATATTTGCTTCCTTAAGCAAAGTAACAAAGCAACGAACGGTCGCTCCACATATTTTCCTGGCCAAAGTAACTTCAAAAATATGATTTGCAGCCATTTCGACGACGGTGTAGTGCATTTTTCCCAACCTTTTTTTGCCAACAGTGGACGTTTTTTGCTATTCTTTGGTTAGGATTCCGGCTTTCACATCGTACAAAAGTTACACTTTTTTACTCGGAGATGCCTTCATGTGAATCGTGTATTTCATGCTTGAATAGCAAATCCCCTGGTTTGCAATGTACAGGGACTTGCCGTAAGTTTTACCACGGGAAATATGCAGAAATTCTGTTTAAAATCTGTTTAAAATCTGTTTGAAATCTGTTTTTCCGTTAATCAGCTGTCGCCCCCTTACGAACGTCAACTCTCAGAAGTTGAGAAACTTGTGCGAGTTAAGGACTAACGAGGTCTTACCTTTCAACGTGTGATTCCTAACACGGTTGCAAAATCGTTCCAGCTTCAACCAGATAAATTCTCTCGAGAAAAATATCTGGTCGAAGCGGGAATCGAACACACGACCTTCCGATCGTGAGTCGGACGCACTACCACCGCGGCCAATTCCACAATTCCACAAATTAATAAACAGGATTTGATAAAACTTACTATGCCTAGAGTCCAGTGGGTATGTCCAACGAATCAAGTTACAGAAACTGATAGATTCATCGTTATCGGCGCTAAAATGGATTCAAGGTCGATGCCTTCAATATTAAAAGATATCCAAGAGAACCTAAGATTCCTGAAAGCCTCCTGAAAATAATATAGAATTTCAGGGTGTTCCATACAAAGATAACGAAAATTTATTAGTAGCTTTAAAAAAGATTGGAGATCATATTAAATAAGTCTAAGATTAGTCTAAGGCCATTACAGTTAAACTGTTGATAAAACATAAAAGAAACTCTTATACTGCTGGGCTCACCAGCAAGATCAAACTTTTGTTAATACGCACTAAAGAAGTAGCAAAGAATTAACATTTTAATTGTACTTAGGT